CCGCCGTCCTCCACGGCCGCCGCCTTCGTGGCCGCGGGGAACGCGGAGCCGACGGCGTCGCGGAGCGCCGGGGTCATCGTGCCCGGGAACGCGACGCGGAAGGCGACGTAGAGCGTGCCCTTGGCGAACGGCATGCCGTGCACTGGCATGCCCTCGCCGTCGATGGCCTTGAGCTGGCCCGGCCTGATCACCTCGCCGGCGCCGGAGGTGACCAGCAGCCGCCGGCCGTCGAGGTGGGTGATCACGAACTGGAACCCGCACAGCGCCTCTGCCAGCGACAGCTCGTGCTCGTAGACGAGGTCGTCGCCTTTCCTCGTGAACTTGCCGTGCTTCTTCTGCCGGAGCCCCATCACCAGGTCGCCGGCGACGCCGTTCTCCTGCACGGCACAACGTGTCACGATGACGCATCGATTCAGATGAGCTCAAGGTGTTCGGTCAAATCCGAGGTGGGTGGTGTACGTACCTTGACGTCGGCCTCGCCGGGGAAGGTGATCCGGTGGCCGTCCGGCACGCCCTTCTCGACGGCGAGCTCCAGGACCTTGGTGTCCGTCGCCACCTTGCTGCCGCGGCACGCGGAGCAGCGCTTCAGGCCCCGTGAGACCTCGCCTCTGCCGCCGCACGCCGCGCAGGGCTCGCTCCCGCGTCGCCGGAGTCGCATCAGCTGGGAGACCACCTTGTAGCCGGCGCCGCTGCACGCCGCGCACGTCGCCGGCGAGGCGAGCGTACTCCCCGTCCTGCTCGGGACCAAGCGAAACAACAAACACGTTAGATTAGCGACACGGCGAAGACGACGAAGCGTGGTAGATGGATTCTAATCTCTCAGTTCGATGTCCACCCGTTTCTTACATGTCAACTAAATAATTATAAAAAAATTTAAAAAAAATTACTATATAGATTAGTATGTAATATTAATCTTTAAAAAAAATTCACAAACATGCAAATTCAAATTCGACTCCTACAAATTGTAACAAAAATAACAAATTAAACTTTAACTAGTATATGTATATTCGCAGTCAAATTTATTGTTTTTTTTACAAATTATAGAAGTCGAATATTAACTTGCATGTTTATGAAGTGATATATTACATATTAATCTATCATTGTTATTTTTTTAAAAAAAAATTATAACCATTCGGATGATATGAAAAAAAACGGGTGAACTTCCACTCGAGTGTTTAAAACAGTTTGACATGATCCGCGGCAAGGTTTGGATGACGTCACATTACCCTTTGCAGGGGATGCAGGTGACGTCGCGCGAGAGCGTGAACTTCTTGGTGGCGCCATTGTAGAACTCCTCGAGGGACAAGTCAACGAACTCCACGCTGCTGTCGCCGCCGGACATCATGTTCTTGAACATCCCAACGATCACCTCGTCGAACGCCTTGCCGCCGTCGTCGGCGCCACCGCCGGCGGCGACACCGGCCACCAAGTGCCTGAGCATCTCGACGGCGTCGCCGAACGCCCTGTCGGCGCCGCCGGCGGCGACGAGGTACCTGAACGTCTCGACGAACTCGTCAAACGCGTCGTCGTACCGGCCGAAGCCGGCGGCGGCGGCGCCGACCCCGCCATTGACGCCGTCCTCGCCGTAGACGTCGTAGACCTCGCGCAGGGCGGGGTCGCCGAGCACCTGGTACGCGCGGGCCACCTCCTTGAACGCCTCCTCGTCGCCGCCCTTGTCCGGGTGGTGCGTCACGGCGGCGCGCCGGTACGCGCGCCTGATCTCGTCGCCGTCGGCGCCGCGCGGCACGCCGAGGAGGTCGTAGTACCGGCTGTTGTCGCTGTTGCACCCTGGCGCCGCCATCGTCGTCGTCGCCGTCGTCGATCAACGGCGGCGGCTTACGAATTCCGGCGAGAAGACGACGGAATTTATCGAGTTTTATCTCGAGATCGATAAAGATAAAATAAAACTTTGATATTTTATGCAACGCCGGAGTTGAGTTTCTACTGCATACGGAGTACAGCACAACGTGTAATAGTATTACAAGTTTGTTGAGTTAGGCCTTATTGGGCTTCCGGGATTGGGCTTTTTTCTGTTTTGGGCCCAACATTAGTGGGCCTACAGAGATAGAGGTTGGCTATTTGGGTCCACAAGAGTAACGGAGGCTTGTTTGACTCTAAACTCTATTTAACATAGTTTTGAAACTTTTGATGAAAAAGAAGCAAAAGTTACTCCTGTTTTTATTAATAAAATTATTTTTTCAGATTAATCAATTTGTTTAATGATCTTCTCTTAGTCAACCTATTTAGTAACCTTCTTTAATTTCCTTTTGTGTTTCATTCCTCTCCAAACACATATCCACATATTTTTATTCATATAATCATATATGTATGCACTAACAACCTTCCTACTACAATTTTTCTGGCACATTTTGTATTCCACTTCCTCTGTTTTCTATTCTGCCGGCCAATTATATTCTTAACTTCTCTTTAAGCACTAATAAACTGAAGTTAACTGGTGGTCACAGCATATGATCTCTGAATGTTTCTTGTGTTCTGACGTGCATGCATGCATGATTATATATATACTTGTCTTTTAGCAGTACAATTAATGATCAAATGATGCAGACAGATTAACTTAAAAGATAACAATGCATGTATGAATATGAATAAGTTTCAAGGTTTTGCAACGGAATCTTTCTTAGAAACCACCTACTTCTAAAAAAGAAAAAAAAGAAAAGAACAATGAACTTTTGAGTAACTGGAGAACTCTAAATAATTAACACGAACCTAACGACTTTGAGTTCTGAATAATTAGTACTATCTGACATGACAGGAAATTAGTTGAGGGCCAAGCATCAGGACCACCTATGAGGAATTAAAGATGTCGTGTAGATTAGATTGAGCAAATATTGATTGATTGAATTGTCACTCTCTCTGAATTTATTTTCAGACACCCCTGAACGGACGCATGAGAGTGAGTGAATAAATACCGGAGCTTGCAGTTCCTTAAATTTTGGAAAATCTTTCAGTTTACGTACATCCACCGACATGTGAATATCGTGTGTTAAAAAGAAAGAGTGAAGATAATGTATATATAGAGAGAGATATATGTGAATTCCAATGGATTTACAGCCTCATCTTTTCACTTATACTTATATTTATCAGCCAAAAATTGATTTTTCAACCTTAAATTGATTTTGAGGTTTTTACATCGAAGCTTATTTTTTAGCCTTTAATTTTATATCGCTAAGAACACGTATATAAAAATTTTATTCACAAATTACTTTTCATTTACAAATATGCCGTTTGAACAATGGCCCATTAATTCGTTCATCGCTATGAAATGCCGAAAATTCTCTAATTATTTAGCAGTGAAAGAAGTGCCGCCAAACTATCCGTAGCATAGGCAGATTTCAAAGTAAGTTCATATGATTTTTGATAGCTAATCTCTCTTTCTCAAAGTTAACTATCCTCACATCCCTATACAACTTCAATAGAAAAAGAAGGCCACACCATACCTTATTAACAGAAAGAGAAGTACTACTATTAATGGATTGATAGGTAAAAGATATTAAATATATGTCTTTTCAATTTAAAATTGATATAAATTAACTTATTTTGAAATAAAGTTTAAACTTTAGAATTCAAATTATTTTAGAGCAGAGGGAGTAGCTAATAGTAAGATATTTCACCAGGCACTAATAATAGAAATTCAATTCTAAGGTGAGATAAAATAGTTTGAGGGTTGCGAAGTAAACACAGTTCAACTGGCTAGTCTATTGGTAGAGAGTCCTGTAGCTGTTTTAGTGCTCTAGTTATTCTTTCAGTGGTACGTGATATTGTGTAGTACTCCCTTCGTCACAAAATAAGTGCAGTTTTACAATGTTCATGTCTAACGTTTGACCGTTCGTCTTATTTGAAATTTTTTATGATTAATATTTTTATTGTTACTAGATGATAAAACATGAATAATACTTTATGTGTGACTAACTTTTTTAAATTTTATCATAAATTTTTCAAATAAGACGAACGGTCAAACGTTGGACACGGATTCCCATGACTGTACTTATTTTGAGACGGAGGTACGTGTAACGTCCGTATTTTGAAGAAAAAAATAGTTTGGGTTAAGTAGGTAAAGATGTTTTTTTTTCGTTTTAAGAAATGACCAAATCCTTGGCTGGGGCCACAATGCATTGACTTCGTCCGGTGGTCCTCTGCTCTGTGGGCCCCACCGGACAGTCTGTTATACTGAAAAGGTGAAAACTGAAAAGGTGATGAGCACACGCAGCGACGTACCCCTTGGACCGACCACGCCGCACGGCCTATTGCTCCATCCACGTTTAAATATTAAAATATTTTAATATTTGGAGGTCTGAAAAGTAAAAAAAAAAGGCTATCTATTTATTTCTTCCATGCTATTATGACACAAAAGCACCCGTTCTTTTAAGTAATCATCGCTCGTGCACTTGGATTTTTCAGTTTCCACTGGAATCCCTGTGAAAAACAATAATTTTATACTCCACCATTTTCAAATAATTGACACGGTCTGTACTCCCTCCATTAAAAAAAACCCTCAACTTTTAAAGTTTAAATTTTATAAAAAGAATTGACATAGAACTATTTGCCACTTTTAAGATGTGGCAATTAAAAATTTGCCACTCGTTGTCTATGACATATGTGTCATTATGTGTGTATGACATATAGGTCTAGTAGCAAATCCTTTAGAATTACTTGTAAGAGTGACAAATAGTTAATTATTTAAAAAACCAACTTCTATCATCCTATACCTAATATCAACACATAAACGAGAAGTTTTATCTCTTAAATATTCTTTATCTACCTATCGCCATTGCTATTTTTTTAATAGTGAGAAGTGTCATTTTTACTTCCACTAATTTTAGCTTGGATGTTTGGAATGTTTTTTTTTATAGAGAGAGAGAGAGAGAGAGCAAGGATTTACTAATAAATCAGAAGTTGGAGGAGCAGAGTACGTTGCCGACAAAAAGGAAAATCACAAGGACCTGAAAGAAATGAAATTCCCTCAGAATAATCGAAAGGAAGCGTCAAAACGAGGAGTAGAAAAGCACACAGCAAAAAAAAAAAGAAATCCAAAAGGGTGGAGTTGGAGCTCAGGAATCCATCCCCAGACAGAGGAGGAGGAGGAGGAAGGGGTGGTCGCCTCGCCAAGTCGGTGGCGATTTTGACCCCTCTTCGCCGCTGGCAAGGTGGAGTTTCTGTTCATCCTCTCCCATTCTCCCCAAGAATTGGTGCCTGTTCTTGCCCGAATTTGGTGTGGATTTGAGGATATCTTGGGAATCCACTGAATTCATTAGTTGTTTGAGAGGCGGCTGTATTTTTGGTTTGCTTGGCGTTGAAATTACCTCGCTTTACCCAAAATTTGGGTTCACATTTCGCCCAAGATTTTGCATGTCCTTCAGTTGGTTTCTGCAAAATTAGCCCTCACTGTGGCTCTTTTTTTTTTTTTGCCGACATTCTGCAAAGTTTGTTAGTATAAGTTCCAAAGATGTGAGTTTTTGTGTGTAGTGAAGAAAGATGTAAACTTTCTTTGCGGATGTTTCTTTTCCCTGTTTGTTGCCAATGTTCTTCAGGGTTCATCTCGGTTAGAACCTTTGCAAGATTGCAGGGTTGGTAGTCTGGAGATGAAGCTCTTGACTCTTTGGCTATCTTTGGTAAATGGTGGAAGATTAGTGTTCCAGCTCATGACTTCTCCTTAGATAATGGTGCCTCATAGCTGCTACTTTGAATGTGCTATGGCGCTCTTTCACATTCTGCTCATGAACTCCCCTTCCATCCCTGCTTCTTTTAGTTCTGCCTGTTAAAAGTTGAGTAGTCTGATGAGATTTTTTGTGCAACTGATTACTGGCTTGTTGTAAGGCTACTTCGTTGCAGAAATACTTTGCTGTAGGCAGTAGCTATTGTTTATGGTAAACCGTGGAATGATGCAAATTGATTTGTATGTTCAGCAATGCCACCTCCTTGTGTAAGAATTTACAAGGACTGTTGGAAAAGTTGTGCTTTTTTTTGTCATCTTTGCTGCTTTTTTTTGAGTGGATAATTTGTGCAATATCGGGAGAAAATGGGTGATGATGTCGATTGGCGTTACTTGATGAGCTTCGGCGGAAGTGCTGTGGATTGTTCTTGGTGGCATGTGTAAATTGAGCAGCCACGTTTTAATTACTTAGTTGTTCTAATCAATGAGTTAGATAAGATGTTATGACTACCTCCTTTTCTTGGTTCATTTGACATTTTGAACGCTATTGTACACTACCGAAAATTCCTCATATTTGTGATCCATTTTCAGTACAATATTCATTATTTTGTACTACTTCATTTGACAATGATCTTCTCATCCACAGGTATTACCGTGCTAACTGGTTAAAGGAGAAGGGTTGAAAGGCCAATATGGGCATTTCAGCCAAGTGGATTAAATCACTTGTTGGGATAAAAAAGCATGAAAAAGCACAAACTTCTGAAAGCAGTGGAGTGGTAAGCCGAATGATATTCAGTATGGTTGTTTGCTCTGCAATGATAACGAATTGTTTATAACTTCATATTTGGTACATGTGAGTATGTGACATGTAGTATTTTGTTTAAGTCATTTCATGTTTTGCCCTGTTGTGAGTGGAAGAATATGATATGCGTCATATGTATGTTTGTCTTTCCCTGACAAAACATGAGGAATCTTTAAGAATGATATGAAAAATAGATGTTTTACCTAAACTCACTGGAAGACAGTCGGTGCTGTTGTTGCTGACTGTTGATATGTTGTTATCATCTGACATATCACTTAAGGGTTACCGCTACACTATTCTCTTGTTCATTATCAGAAGTGTCACAGATATATAAATCTTGTTTGCCATGTGTCATGTAGCTAATGCCTAATGGTAGCACCTTTTTCTGTTCATTGACCTTGCCAAATTATTTCTGTTGCTAGTTGCCGCCATCAACACTGTAATGTTTTCATCCTTCTCACATTCACCATATAGTGGACAGGCTGAGTTTAAAAACATTTTACAACAAATTTATGTACATAAATGTGACTAAATCGAATTTATTTCTTCTGAAATTTCTTGCTTTATAATAAATCTCAATATAAATCAATTCAGTCTAAACTATTGCCACTGAAACAGTTAGGTTATTTTCTATATATTGCCTTTTTATGTACTTTGTCCAGGAATTTATATAAAATAACCACTCAAAAATATTGTATATGAAATAGCAGAAGATCTGGTATGAGTTATATCTTGTGTATTAAGGTGTTCAGTGCTGAGTCAGTGAGTCTGATAGCATGGCCAGTTAAGCAAACTATTGCATTGCTATATTTTGATTTCTTGTACTCCATATTTGGCTCACTATTGCCACACATTTACATATTAAGCATTGTTATTTTTTCTACTGTATTCATCATTCTTTAAGACCCTACTTTGTGCTAATTGTAGAGGAGCTCTACTGCGCAGTTGCTACACAAGCGAAAACATTCTATTGATACTGAAAGTGCTGCTGCAGTCGAAGAACTCAGTGTACAAACTGAGCCATTGGCATGTGACACCAACATTCAGGCAATATCAAATATCACCTCCTCACCCGGTACAACTCTTCAAGTATCTCAGATTGAATTGGATACAAGGGAGAATCATGCTGCAATAGTTATTCAATCTGCCTTTCGAGCGTTCTTGGTATTATACTCCATCTTATATTACCATATTATATTGCTATTACTGAGACTTAGAAAAGCACGGGATATATTGCAATTCATGTGCCACAAACTTAAAGTGAGGTAGGGACCAAGTAATGCTTTGATGCTAGGAAAAAAAGGAAAGACTGTTGTGAATGCTGTCCCTTCTATTATGTGTGACAAAGTTCTGGATAATTTATCACCTGTGAAGATGGTCAGTAGTACCACTTGGCTGCTGTCCAATTATGTGACGTTACAAGATATATCTGTAAAAATTCTCAATTTTTGTTAGGCCTTGATTTGAATTTTCCCAGATGAACATTTAAATCTAGTAGGAGAAACTGCTGGGATTTACAGGAACCTCTGCAGTCTCGTAAATAACCATCAGATTCTTCACGGAATAGATGCTATTAACATGATAGCATGGACAACTTTTAGTCTCTGTCATATATAAGACAAAATGTTCCAGATGATAATATTTAAAAGTAAACAAAAGGACTAATGCTAGTATGCTACTGGTCATTAGATATTCAGTCTTTGTTTTGATCTCCTGGGAGTAAAGTTTTATAGATTGTTGGATCGATCTCTGCATCTTTTTTTTTTGCATCAGTACACAATGTGATCTCTCTCTTTTTTTGTTTTAAATAAATGAGTCTTAGAGCCTAGCTACCTTCACATGAACTCATCTTTTCATGTTTTAGGTATGGGCTGACCAGATATGCACCTATATGAAGAATATTCAAAATAAGTAGTAACTTAAAATACGACCTAATTCATGATTTTGTGGTATTCTTCTCCCATATGTATGTGGCTTTGCGGCACTCTCATTTTTTCTTTTGTCATATCTACCAGGCTAGGAGGGCTTTACGAGCATTAAAAGGATTAGTTAGACTCCAGGCTCTTGTTCGTGGCCATGCTGTCCGAAAGCAAGCAGCAGAAACACTTCAATGTATGCAAGCATTGGTAAGAGCTCAAGCTCGTGTCAGAGCAAGACGAGTTCGAATTTCTTTGGAAAGTCAAGTGACGCAAAAGAAGGCTTCAGAACAGAATGTTCACGAGGACCATGTTTGGGAAATTGAGGTATGAAATGGTCTGTGAATGAATGGCGCTATATGCTTCCGTATAGTTTGTTTTAAACTGAATATGAAGGGTGTTATGTTTATTTTAAACTGAATACTTATAAGTGAGTGATAATTCACCAAGAATGGCATGCAGGAACGCTGGTGTGACGGTATTGGCTCAGCGGAACAAATGCAAGCTAAAGTATTAAAAAGACAGGAAGCTGCTGCTAAGCGGGAAAGAGCAATGGCATACGCTTTAACACACCAGGTAAGTCTATGCTAGCATTCTAACAGAAATCTGTGTACAGACATAGAAATGTTGGTCTTTACATGTTGAAATTAGCTTGAGGGTCAAGATCTGCAAAGTCTTTTTGATTCTTTACTTAATTCACATCCGTTGTCAACTCTTAATGTTACAAGCTTGTTTGGTAGAAGAAAAATTGCTTAAGACTAGTAACAGTAAGTGTGCTAATTGGTGATTTCCCTTAGAGCGGCAGCAAGGTGTGTAACACCTATTTTTGCTTTTGCAGTGGCAAGCAGGTTCCAGGAAACAGAAAGCAGCAACCCTCCAAGGGCTTGAGGTGGATGAGAATCAGTGGAGCCAGAATTGGTTAGAGAGGTGGATGGCTGCACGCCCATGGGAGAACAGGTTGCTTGATACTAATGCCAAAGAGAGTGCTCCAACTGGTGATGATAACCATGCTGATGAAAATGAGGCCAAGGCTCCGAACAAACCAAAAGGAAAAGTGTCCATTTCTACCACTCATCCGAATGGCTCAAACAAGAAGAACGGTGCAAATCATAAGAAGTCGCATTCCGATATAAGTGGCTCTTCATCAGGGCAATCTGCAGGTGTTCTGCCCACAAATTCTTTGGGATCATCCAAGCTAAAACCAAAGCCATCAGATGAAATCTCTGAGGAAGTCAATTCTCAACCTTCGAATTTGGCTTCGCGGTCCACAAGTAATCCAAAAGAGAGGCCAACACAAGTGAATGCTTCATCCAAGAAGAGACTGTCACTGCCTAACAATGGTAATAAATCTTCTATCTTTTATTGGCACTGCATCTCCTGAAACACTTTTATTCAGAGAACTATTGAAAGCCATTCCGAACTCTCCTGCAAGAGATCATTCTTTTCTAGCTAGAAATTTCAGTTCTAGTTGACATGCTATTGAAGAACCAAGTATAAACAGTTCATACTGAAACAGCATCTGATTCTATTCTACTTTCACTTGTGCAGGAACAATGGGTGGGGGCGTAGGAAAAGGCGCAACCAACGGCAGGACAAACCAATCCATGAGCTCCAAGAATGCAGCAAAAGGATCATCCAAGCTGGAATCAAAGCAGCAACAACGACCAAACCCTCCTAACACGACTGTGAAACGAGTTGAGGTAAAGGCCTGAGAAAGTGAGGAATCCACCCAACTCCCATTTCATTCAGACGCTTGGTAATAGCCCTGTTGTCATGTGTGCTGTTGCATCCGTGTATATAAACCAAGAAAAGAGAGAGAGAATCTTGCATCTACATTGATGCCATGCTTCATGTTTCTATTGTGCAATATTTATGTTGTCAGTATTTTCTCTTCGCGCTTCTGCAGTTCTGCTATATTTCTGTAAGTTATCTTCCTTCTACTATAACCAGAGAACTGTATGTGCAAAACTGTGAAAATATGCACAGTACAATAAACCATATGCCCTATTGTTTCATGACATGGTCTTCAGCATCAATGATTATTATTGTTAGTGCTAAAATGGATATGTTTTACCCTATCTTGTACTCCTAGCTTCCTTCAATGGGAAGGCCATTCCAGATTCTTCATGATGAGAGACACAACACAAGAATCTGTTCAAGTACAATGTGTTCCATTTGGTTCCAAACTTGTGTATGTATGATAAAGTTGGTGCCGCGTGGTGCCCCTTTTGCAAAGCAGGATGATAGATCCCCAGATGCAATCATGCATGATGGCCAAAGCAGCCTCCTCTGCAGGTGCAGGACTCCTTGTGTGCCACCTGCTAGGAACCTGCTTGCCTTTGACTATTTTTATGTTATAATTAAGCTGAGCTTACATGTTCTATGCATCTGTCCATACATATGCAATATGCTAGTAGGAGTATGCTCATTCTGTGGTTATCTCTCTTCTTTGTTTATTTATTTTTCAGGGAGATAATAATCTAGTTATGTCTAAGATTATATAATCTATGATATACTAATGGTGGTTTGGTAATCACAATAAGGTTTGGTGAATTACTATGCATAATGACGTCATATTTTTTTTCTTGGTAGTTGCCAAGTCAGTGCTCAGAACAATATTTTTGTATATAAAATAGAGCAATATTGTATTATGACTGCAAACTAAATTGGACGGTGCATGTAATATTCCCTGCACCATCCAATATTTGTGGCTAGGATGCCTTGTCGTTGCTCCGTAGACAGGTGGGCCCAGGACTTGTGAAAGTCACATCACAAACTAATTAGTTCTTTCACCTTTTCTTTCTTGAAATTTTGAACTGTTAAACATGCATGAGATATGAGAGGGAAAGGCTGCTAATTTCTAAATGCCCTGATGTTGAGAGCATACCACAGATGATGTGAAGTATATAGGCTGGTTTTAAATATGAGTGTTTCTGTTAGCTGGAAGCCCATTTGAATTTTTTAAATCTCACTCAAAATTTTGGATCATTTGTGATCTAGAGGTTTCCCCAAAGACAAGCAAAAATATTAGCTCTATCTGTTGGCCATACCATGACATGCCAGGTTTCTTATTTTCACAAGAAAGGTCATAGAAAATTGATCAATTTACATCAAGATAGGTTTGTTTTTTGCTATAATTTTCTATAGAGGATCACTTCTGATTATGTACTTGAACATATTCTACAAAAAGATATCCAAAAAAAAAGATAGTATTCTCCTAGCTAAACTAATTGAAAATACTCCAACATGCTCTCTTTTTTTTCCTGTCCTATAAAGAGTTCAGTCAACTAAGAATGAGATAATCATGCATCTTTCCCTTCTATTTTTTTTATCCAAAAGATAAAGAAAGATCTTATTCTAGCCACCAACTGCAAAATTGTTTTTAGGCAAACACTGGCAAAAACAGAATCTAATGTGTTTAGCATGGGTGTTTGACCTATGAAATGAATGTGAAATGGTTGGCATTGAATTCTTGATCTGTTCAGATAACTTGGCCTGATCAGAATCATCTGATCTTGGTCAGACTGGATCTCTACAGCCCTCTCTTATTATTGGGGGTACCACTATTGTGGCAGCACATCTTCTGCATGCCTTACACATGTGATGTGAGTGCCAGCAATGTGTACTACCACAGTACAATACTGTACAGAATATGCAGGTGCTGTGCACAGTGTGCATACTAGAACGGTAGTCATTAAACCCTTTGCGGTTTGAGGAGCTTAAAATTCGTAAAAGTTTAGATTCTCGTGTTCTGGATTATATTTTTTTTAATTCTATAACCACATATTCTGAATCTGATTGTAATTCTATAACCACATATTCTGAATCTGATTGATAATTGGTTAGAGAAGCTAAAGATTATATAAGAAACTGTAATAGTCAAAAGCTCTCTTAACATGGCCATAAGCTACTTCAAGGCTGCAACACATGTCCATCAGTACATGCATCAAGCACTATCACAAACTGATGCTTCTGGACTGTGTAGTGAGTAGTGAGTAGTGGCATGATCATGTGGGTGAAAAAGTGCAGGACCCCAGATGACAAAACTAAAACATATTTGTTGTTACTCCTATCTTTTTCCACCGCTTGTGTTGTTGTCATCTTCTGAACCTGCGTGGCTGTGTTGCACAAATCTGATCCATCCACTTAATTATCTGAATACCAAAGCTCCAGAGAATCAATCACAAAATGGTTGTTTTTATGAGGAAAGCAGGTGAGCAATCAACTTTAAAACATAGAACAATCCACATAATCTATACAAGTAATTATAAATTCTCCGCTGCCTGTGCTATTTTCAATTTCTGAAGTTATGTACGCCTGCACAAATCTGATCCAGAGAATCAGTCAGCTAAATCAGCAGGAACTGGTTGTTTATCTGCACCAAAGCAGGTGAGTAATCAACTTTAGAACATAAACAAATAATCCCACATAATTTATACAAATAATTAAATTACTTTTTTTAATACTAGTAGTGGTCGTGTACAGGAAGTAAGCAGGATTCCCTGACAAGTGTGTAGGCTACGGCCACGTATACGTATACGAGTCGTCGGCGGCGACAGCGACAAATACTAGTACAAGGCGTACACTTGGAAGTTGCTGATAATGTTTGTTTAGTAGGAGTATTATTATTATTTTCTCTGACATATTTTCTTTCAATATGTAGTGGTAATGATAATAATAATAATATTCAGACTGAGAAAAATCCAATTTGGACTTTAAAAAACTGTGTGCAACCACATCTACGGGCTTGCCGACGAAATATGGGCCCACATGTCAGTGAGTCCACCGGCCCGTCAGATCCGACTGGGACGTGCGTGAGTGCTCTGCAGCTCTGCGCCTCATCGCTTTGCCGCTGGATTAATTAACTCCTGAAAATAAAAGATAATTAGCGCTTACACTCTCCTCTAATTGTAAAGTTCAGTCGTAAACAAACAAAAGCTTAAAGCTCATGTTTTTTTTTTTGCAGTGGTCGTGCAGCATAATCGTCGTCTTTTAGTCTTAGTTTAAACTCTCAAACAAACCACCGGCGTTTTGAACAATTTTGTACTCTACCTCCAAATTCAAGCACCATGTAAATTAAACCATACTTATATGAACATTTGCAGGTTTAATCTTCGACAAATCTACATGAACTGTTTGAAACTTCTATAGTTCATTCGAATTTGCATTGGCGTATTGCGGATAGACTTCCACAACTGCCATGTCACCGCGATGTTGATTTATGACTGGATTTCACTCGCGGAAGATAGTACGTTTATTTGGAGCCAGAGGAATGGAGTACGGATAAGTCACGAAGCATTAGGTTTAAAAGATTTATCTCATAAATTAGTCGTAATATATACAATTAGTTATTTTTAGTCTATATTTAATATTTTGCGTATATGTTCAAACGTTCTATATAACCATATGTAAATTTTTTGCGTGGTATCTAAAAAGGCCCATACTATGCTTCATAAAAAGGTTTTTCTTAGGGGATTAGCAACAAAATGAGAGGAGAGGGACAAAATAAAAAATAAAAAACAATTCATTAACCATCATCCATGATAAAAGCACTACACACTCTCTTTCCCCAACCTCCTCTCCTCTCCTCTCCTCTCCTCTTCTTCTCCCTCCAAAAATCTCCTCCTCCGCTTCACTCGCTCCCCTTCCCTCCATTCCATTCCCTTCCTCTTCGCCCGCCGCGAGATCGGTAGACCAAATTAACCACACTCGCGCCGCCATTCTCTTCTTCTTCTTCTTCTTCTTCTTCTTCTTCTTCAGTTGAGCTGCTTGTCCCGAGCTCTGCTCGTTTCTTGGCGTCTTCTTTCTTCTTCTTCCTCCTCGGTGCGGTTGCGGTTTCGTTTTCGTTTTCTTTCCCCTTTTTCTGTCGGTTAATTCGGCGACGTCTGATCCGCCATGAGAGCGAGCAGTTTGTTCACTCAGTTCCCCTTCGTCTGATACTGATCCCTCCTCACTCTCTGCTCGATTTCTCATCGTCTCTGTAAGCAAGATCCGATCCCCGGAGGCCAAAACCCCTCCCGAATCGCGTGGTTCTTGTTTGTTCTAATCATCCTTCGATTGGGTTGGGTTGAGCAATCGATTGCGTTGTTGTTCTTGCTGATCCGAAGATCCAAAGGAGGAGGAGGAGCTTGAGGTTGAAATTTCTCGCCGGAGATGGCGCTGCCGCACGCCGCCTCGCCGTACGTGCTGTCGCTGCTGCTGCTGCTCTCCATCCCGGCGGTGTTCCTCCTCGCGCCGCGCCTCCTCCCGCCCAAGACGCTCCCCTCCATCCCCGACGCCGACGAGACCGACGACCTCGCCCTCTTCCGCCGCGCCGTCCTCCTCTCCGCCGCCCCGGACTCCTCCTCCGCCTCCGCCGGCGCCGCCTCCCTCTTCGGGCGGCGGCCGCAGCCCAAGGTGGCGTTCCTCTTCCTGACCAACTCCGACCTCGTCTTCTCCCCGCTCTGGGAGAAGTACTTCGCCGGGAACCACCACCTCCTCAACCTCTACATCCACGCCGACCCCAGCGCCGCCGTCGACCTCCCCGCCACCGCCTCCTTCCGCGGCCACGTCATCCGCGGCACCAAGGCGACGGCGCGCGCCTCGGCCACGCTCATCTCCGCCGCGCGCCGCCTCCTCGCCACCGCCCTCCTCGACGACCCATCGAACCACTTCTTCGCCCTCCTCTCCCAGTCCTGCATCCCCCTCCACCCTTTCCCCACCTTCTACCGCACCCTCCTCTCCGACAGCGACAACAATGGCGGCTCGCCTCGCCGCCCCCGCCGCCGCCGCAGCTTCATCGAGATCCTCGACAACGAGCCGACGCTCCACGACCGCTACTACGCCCGCGGCGACGACGTGATGCTACCCGAGGTGCCCTACGACAGCTTCCGCGTCGGCTCGCAGTTCTTCGTGCTCGTGCGCCGCCACGCCGTCATGGTGGTGAGGGATCGGAGGCTGTGGAACAAGTTCAAGCTGCCATGCCTGACCAAGAGGAAGGACTCGTGCTACCCGGAGGAGCACTACTTCCCGACGCTGCTCGACATGCAGGATCCGCAGGGATGCACCAAGTTCACGCTCACCAGGGTCAATTGGACCGACTCCGTCGACGGCCACCCGCACACCTACCGCCCCGACGAGGTCTCCGGCGAGCTCATCAGGGAGCTCAGGAAGTCCAATGGGACTCACTCCTACATGTTCGCGCGCAAATTCGCGCCCGATTGCCTCAAGCCACTGATGGAGATCGCCGACTCCGTCATCCTGCGAGACTAGATGAATGATGCTGTGTTTGCAAGAGATGAATGCAATGAGGTAATTCAGAGTTCCAAATTTTTTGGCACTAACTAACTACAATTTGCAGGTGTGCTTGAGTTGTTTATTTGGCATGAGAAACCTAGAGTAAAAGTAGTAGCTTGATTTTCAGACCAGCTATTGACAAATTTGGTCTTTGATTCTACACTGTTAGTTTAAATTGCTGTTCAAAATAGCATCTGAACACTGACTTTTGTGATCACCACACCGACACAGTAGTTTGTCATTATCTTTACCTAACTGCAATTCTGTGGTTTCAGACCATTCGTTTAGTACCAAAGCTTATTAATGAATTTTTTTTGTGTTCTTGCAGGGCTGAGATGTGATGAACAAGCATAAGCTGATCCATCCATACCCTTGCAGATTCTCCAGAGAGTACAAACCAGGACCAAGCCTTGGTTTGCTTTGTTTTCTTCAACTGCACTCGTCAAAAAGATGGTGCTTCTCGAGAGAGCATGATGGTTGGTGTTGGTGGCAAAAGGGCCCCAGCTGCCTCCTATGTGAGTATTTTTCTCTGTATCTTTTGTTTTCCCTTTCGAATTTGAGCTCAAGTGGTGGCCAAAATGAGGAGGGGAGAAGGTTGTTGGCACGTAATTAGAGTAGTAGTTAGCATGATCATCCTATGTATTACATGGAGGAAAATCTGTCGATACATGCAGTGATGGTTTGTAGTGTATGTTTATATACAATATGTCAATATCAAGCCCTTTTTTTCGTCCGAAATGTATCGTTTGTATCATGGAAAACCTATCTTGTGTTTGAAGTCATATTCTGCCATTAGGTGGTTACTGCTAACTGCACTTTCCTTGCAAATCTGATCTCTGAAGAGGAAAGGACTACCAATGTTTATACTAACAAAAATATGAATCAATCAGCCTTTGAAACTGAAATAAGTACTTCTGAAGATTATGATGTTGTTTTTGGATGGATTCAGTAACTCTGATGTGCAGATTAATTCTAAATCCTTTGTTAGTTAAATCTACTTGTGAGGTGTCATGTGTGAAACTGTAGAAGCAGTCAAGTGTAAGGAGTTGTCCCTTTCTTGCCCCATGGATGAATCTTTGCACTTTTCCATCTTTTCCTCTCCCTGTTTCCCTTTTCTTTTGTTTTAGTTGCTTCTTGGTAGGGAGGTGGGTGCAGCATGGAAAGAGACACTTGGGTATGCCATTACATTATCATATGCAGATTGGGGATCACTCAACAACCATAAAACCCATAAAGGCAGCAACTTTGCTCCCTGGGAGCAGGTTCCATGTATTAATCCATGAAAGCAGCATGCATGGTGATATGATGATATATCAAGCAAGCAGGTTTCCTGTCTCTGTTGCACTAGTGCTGTTCAGATGCTTGAGCAATGTTGGTGCACTGGTGCTTTTAACATGCTAACATTTTCAGATGCAACTTTGAATGCTACAATGATGCAAATCTTAGCTTGAATAGTAGTGAGGTGCAAGCACCTACAGTTACACTGTGTTATAACTACTCTTGTGACTTTGTCATGAATGAAGACATGATGTTTTCAACATTGACACAGCCGTCGAAATACAGTAGTAGGTAAAATTATAAACAGCGAGACAAATATGCAAATCTTTAGCTGAAGTAGTAGTGCCTGAAGCACCTACTATTACACATTTACACCATGCTAGTAATTCATGGTATACTACTCTTGTCATGAAGACATGTTTTGTTTTCAACATTAACGCAGCCATCAGGATTCAGGGTAATTTTCATTGTCATATTTATAACCCTGGTAAAAGTGAAATTGTTTTTGAGAGAAATATGCATATATGATATTGTTATATCCAAATGTATTAATGCTTGAAGTTTGTAAAGCTTAACTTCATATATCTTCGGAAGTCAAAACAATATATGTTCATATGACCAGAGGTTTGGTAGGATAAGCTTATGCTTATTGTACGGAGTAGTATTAACATCATTCAACTATCTCACATAAGCTTGCTGAATACCTGCACTTGACAGGATTCAAGCATATTTTTCTTGTTGAAGCCTGGTTTAGTTCCAAACTTTTTCTTCAAACTTTCAGCTTTTCCATCAAATCAAAACTTTTCTACACACAAACTTCTAACTTTTCGGTCACATCATTCCAATTTCAATCAAATTTCCACTTTAATTGGCATGGCAGGAAATACTGTTGCGTGGCTGCTGAGATGTTTTAACTGCTGACCTCTCCAAAATAAATACTTACGGTTGGGTCAGTTGAGATGGCAAAATTTTCAGTTTGGTGAGGTGTGGTTGGTTGGTGTATTAAACTGAAAATGAATGACAGGCGACAAATTCTTCCTTGGCTTCATGCCTTGATTTCACACCTTTGTTTGAGTTGAACTGAGCTCCCCAAGGGTCCACTAAACACTGAAAAAAAATGGTCATAAACTCTTTTAGTTAGTTGATAGACACTCAACATTTGTATCACTTTATCTGTTCTCATATTTGAAAGAGATCACTAAAGACTCCTTTGAAACTTTGAAACACATGAATAGAAAATACTTAGGGTTAAAGTGTCATGACTTTTATTGAATACCACAAGAACTAAAACCTCAATAATTATACAGGATGTTGTTTGGATATCTCACAGAAAAAATACAGAAAATTTCAGATTTATATATTGATTTATTAGAGAAACAAGGGAGAGATATGGCATGTGCATCGGAATTCTCATAGGAATTTGTAAACATGAGGTGAACCACATGTTAGAATTCCACCAAAATGTGGAGAAAAATGTTCATATCCTTTGGAATTCCTTTGAACCAATTTCACCATCCAAAGGGCTCTCATAGAATTTTCTCCTCTGGAATGAATTCCTCTAGTTTCTCTACAAATTTCCTCCATTCCAAAGGAGCCCTGAATTTTGCCATGAACTGTAATCAAATTTGTTTTGTTTCATTCATACTTGGGAATCCAACAATTCTCCTCTCTACAAACAGCTCAAAATAATTCTACTGTCATCAGAACAGCTTAAAAATTTCTCAAAAAGCAAGCTGCGACAGAAAATCAAGTCTGAAACCGCACAGGATCATATGGCCCATAAAATCCATAATCTAGCCCAATAGTTGGAGAAAATAGGCCCAAACATAAGTGGCGATGCTGTGCATTTTGTGGGCCAACAGATGCTGCCGGCCCACGTTCAGAAAATTCGGCCCATTTAAACCTACATAGCAGCACACAAATACTCAGCTTTGCAGAAAGAATGAAGATGGCAAGAAAGCTTTCGATGGCGAATTCAGCAGATGGAGCAAAGAGACATTATTCTTATTTGTTTGTTCATTCGAAAAAAAGAAACCTCATTTTGAAAGAATAATATTGAAAAAAAAGAGACCTTATTTTGAAAGAATAATATCCTTAAAATATTGGAAGTAGAGAGAGAAATTATATTAAGGGATCTCACAGTCCAAAGCAGCCTGGTCTCAAAAGAGAATGTGTTCACGTGGCTTCCCGGGTACTGTGACTCTCGACAAGGCTCTCGTGTCTTCGTGAGGATACATGCATCCTCACGAGGCCGCTCTTTCAGAAGAGATGTTAGAGTTTTTGTCGAATATGTGTACGTAGTCGGTTACAATTTAGGACTTGGAGTTGTACTAGGTATAGGACTAGAGTAAGAGTCGGACTCTGTCCTAGGATCTCTCATCAATAAAGGGGCGTGCCTGTTGTAACCGCATGGCAACATAGCATAGCGAGAGGGAGCGGCTGTCGGCGGCGACCGACCGTGAGTCGTTGTAACTCTAATACGCTGTAATATGCTGGATCGGCTGAATTCCGTTATCAAATATCATGCCTCGGTGTCGTCATCGTGTTTGGATCTCCTATGGTGTTTTCTTTCGCGTTTGGTTTCCGATGTGATTTTGGGGCTGGTTTTATAACAAATGGTATCAGAGCCTGCGGGAGATCCATGGTAGAGGTACGAGGGAGGTGCTCCACGCCACGACGGCTACACAGGGTGTCCAGGGACGGACATGGACGCAAGGTGGAGCACGGCGGCAATCAACGGAATTTGATCGGTGGAATCAAACACTTCAGGCGACGGTCTGAACCGTTCGATGGCTGCAATCAACAGGGAGACGACCAGACGTGGTGCTCGGGTTGATGGCGGCAGAAGCGATTGGCGAACCAATCGGTGGGTCGGACACTTCGGGCGGGTGGCTCGAACTTTCCGGTGAGCTACTTTCAATGGGGAGACGGTCAGACGTGACGCTCAGGGTTGATTGAAGCTGGAGATGATCAGCGTTCTCGATTGGTGGAATCGAACACTCTAGGCGGGGTGGCCCAGGCCTTTCGATGAGCTGCGTTCGACAGGGAGATGGCTAGATGTAGCGCTCGGGTCGTTCGGCGGCTGAGAAGACGGCATGCAATTTATCGGCTTCGGCTTGTGGCTAGATTGATGATGGTCAACCGAAGGTCGGAGCGGGTTGCGGGCTCGAGGTGGAGCAGCAACAGTGGTGTTAGCCACGGGTGGACTTTTGTTTCTGATTTGGAGGTGTTGACAAGGTGCTGCATGATCGACTGCTACGGAGGTGACGCACAGCGACAGGTGTGGCGGGAAAGACTCAACATGGTTCGACAGAGAACAACGGCACTTGTCGTTGGTGAGATCGAAGGATGTGTTGAGGGCTGGCACTGGAAGTTGTCGGGAAGGTGCGTGAAGGCTCGGAAGTCACTGGACATGGCGGTGTGCACGTACTGTGTCGAAGCCAGGGACCATGGAGGTGTCAGAGTCCAAGTAGCAGGGAAGATTGTGTCGTGCAGGGGCTGTTCTTGTGGAGAGGTTCGCAGCGCGGAGGAGGACACGGATACAATTCCGGTCACGGCACGAGCGGCACGTTGGCAAGGCAGGAGGATACCAAGTCGGACACGAGAAGGGGATCAGAGGAGATTCGTTTTGGAAATAAAATCGAACTCAAATTATCTCCGTAAATCCAGAAAAGAAGGGGCGGCGGCGACGCTCCTGTGTCGGGGAGGCGGCTCCCGTGGGCGTCGGCATCCTCACCGGCGGGAAACCCACGACGGCAGCAACAGCGGTTGCCCTCACCGGCGAAGTCCTGAGGGGAGGCGGCGCAAGGGAGTCGAGCTCCTGTGCGTGGCAGCGCCTTCCAGCGGACGACAACGTTGAAGAGAAACCTAGGCTGCGGCAGTAGCAGCGGCGGCGTTTTTTCTTGGGGACGCGGAGGAGTGGTGAGGTGCGGCGGGCTCTGGTGCTCATGGTCGACAGATGGAGTGGCGGCTGGGAAGCGGTGCGCAGGCGCTGGGCGGCGGTGCACTTGGGCCGAGGAGACGCGAGCGAAGGAGCGAGAAGAGGGTCGATCTGGTCCTTCTGTGTTGACTGGGTCTTACCGATAGAAAAACCGGTTGGTTTTTTGGAGAAGGAAAAGACCGGTCGGTCCGCTGGTTAAGCTGTTTATGGTTGAGTCTGTTGTGGCTTTGCATGTGACGAGGCTATGGGCTGCATGGAACGTTAATTCATTCGTGCATTGATTTGGTCAGTACAATATCTGAGGGAAGGACACGCGTGTATGTCAAATACACATGCTTGGATCTTGTGGAGCCATGGCATATGCGAGAAAGCGAAGGAAATTAATGCATGCAGCAAGGCAGTAACATGCTAAGTGTTGGTACTACTCGGTAAAGACAGTCTTGAGCGGGTGAAAATATTCCCGGGCAACAGCGGGTCGAATACGTTGATGGAGTCAACGTGCTGTTTGGCAGTACAGGATATATCCAAGATCTGCGGGGTTTGCATGATAGGGATATATGGAATCTGCGTCACTGAAGGAGAAGAATAAACGCTATGGTGGTAATTTCTT